ATGGTAGTGCTATTAACTCCGTTACAAGCTGAGGCAGGGCTGGTTTTGGCAAGCTTACATGTATGAATGCAGCCAACCAGCACTGACCCTCAGATAAAAGGACATTCCAAAGGAAGATGGGGTTTCACACCTTTAAAACAGACATGCAGGAATGCAAAACACACAAATAAAACCCTGAGAACGTGCTGCATTTTGTTACTAAATGCCACTGGGGTAACTTCAGTGTAAAGAGTGCAATCCTAGCAAAGGTGTAGTGGTAGGCATTTGTGAAGAAAGGAGCAAGATCTTTCACTTCTCAGAACAAACCCAGGATATGTTCCATTAGAGATGCTCTACAGCACATGCTCATTTATACAGCTGGTATATGAACAGTGATATGAGGAACAGTGATATGATAACGAACAGCAGTATAAAGATCAAATAAAAGAGGCAGCCATCACGTTGAGTGATTTCTGTTAATGTATCAGCGCTTAATGTTTAAAATTATCAGAGGTGGGAGAAGGCTTATCCCTAAACTAAAATTAATAAAAAAAATCTTGCAAAGGTATAGTTAATTAGCTGGGCTAAGGCCACAGCCATATTTTCTTGGGGCTTGACTGTATTTATTTCCCATACAGCCAGCTTACTCTTTTTTAAAGAGTCAACAAAAAAGATTTAGACAAATATAACTAAGCACAGGGAGAACGTTAATTATTTCTATAGCTCCAGAAGCTCTTGGTCAGAAGGCCCCAACACTTGGCAGCAGACCAACCTGGAGTTGGTTCTTCCACTTTCAGCTTTGCCTGGCAACACTGTTCCAAATAAACAAGGAGAAGCATTGCAAGGGCATGGCATTTAAGAGACCTACAGGGAAGCTTTTCTATCTCAGTAATAATCTTATCTCATACCGTGGGTATACATTAAAGCACTAAGGCTTTATGTGGTTGAACAGACATTTTCTACATATTCCCACTGCCCTCTGAATTAGAATATACTCTTAAAATTATTTTAACGAATGACCAAGAGAGGCACAAACACAAATGCATGGCACTCAAATTCCTCACTGAACACAAATTCCCTCTAATAAACGGCTGCTGGTAACCCCAAAGTTCTTGTGTAATAGCCAAAGTGTATTTCAGGATTATTAGGGTTACAAAACGTTGCACCCTGTCAGTAAATCAGAGAGCATGTTTACCATTTTCTACACTTAAGACTACTGGAGTTGTCTCCCCTAAAGCTCACCGTTGATTATCCTTTTAATTCTTTAGAAGGTATGATAAAGGCTACAGAATGACCTACTCGATAGCAAATTTGAACAAACTTAGAGCTCCCTTAGAGGAACAGACTGTAGAGAAAGAAAAGGAAGCACGTAAAGTCTGTTGTTTTCAAGAAAAGCATGGTTTGAAACTGCGTATTTCTTAAGAAACTCAAAAGCTACTTGGTCTACTCTGATGGCACGCAAGACAAATTGGTATGAAGCCTGCAAGTACAGTAGCTGCCTTCCAGTGTACGTGTGTAGCCTGTGATGATCAGGTGTCCAACTCTTGGAGGAACAAAGCTCTGTACTTCTGAACTTTAAGTTGTAATGATTTTCCCAGATGATCAGCTCACATGGGGAAGAATGTAGCCCTTTTATTCCAGTGCTGTTTTAATTGCTAACCCTTAGCAATAAGAGTTCCTCCACACCCTCAGGACTCCCAACCCAACAAAATGAGCCGAACAGGACTTGGAGCTAAACCAGGCACCGCAGCGGTGACTCCTGAACCTTGTCTGCAGCTGCCAGCCCAGACACCGGCAGCTGCCCAGGTTGGGGCAGCAGATGCGATTCGTCCTTAAGAACAAATCACTGAGAGAGGCTTTTGAGCAGCACTGCTACCAAAGGGCAAGTTTGAATAAAGGACGCAAACGCTACAATGCCCAACTACAACACAAGCACACCGCCGAGACTGCAATGCGCACTCTGCCTAGGGCTCGGCAGCCTCACACAGGGCTGCAAGGACATCCCTGGCAGATGGAGGTTTCCTCCAACCACTGGAACGAAGGCCCCAGCTGGACCCACTCGTAGATCAAAGAATTTGGGGCTAGGTGCCTTCGCCTAGGGCAACGGTGAGCATGCACTGAAATAGACTTCCAGGGACCTTGCAAAATTTATGATTAAAACATAAAGTGTCTGTGGAATGTAGTTGGTTTAAGGCATAGGCAACAACTGAGCTTTTCTACCCCCCCCCCCTTTTTTTTTTTTAAAAAAAAGACAGGCTTGAGGCTTTCTTACCAAAATTCTGCTCGAGTCTTTTACTGGACGAGCCTGCAGTGCTTCAGATGGGACACTGGCACAGCTGAAGCTCAAATATGTGTTTTCTGCAATGCACTTAACTTGACTGGAGCAATCAGGTCTCGGGTTTCTTCTACATTCCTTCTACATTATCCCACAACACATTGTTATTAAATTATGAGACAGATCATTTAAAATGTTTTTTTAATTTGTGCCCTTCATCAAGAACTGTAAAACGCCATGGATATTACTGATTCGCTGCTAAGCCTTTCTTGGGCAAACGTCCAGTGTCAAAGCGAAGCTGATCTCAAGCTCATACTCACTGCAGAACATATGGGAAATGTCAGCACTTTAAAATAAGAAATCACTGTATTTCTCTCCATTTTACACTGAATCACTGTCTAGAAGACATCCTCCTAATGTCCTCAACAGTGTTTAGATTTTGGAACTAAGCCAAGTATTTTAGTTGTCACTTTGCTTTTAGATGCCACTTGCAGCCATAAATAAGGTTCTTACCCATGATTAAAGGATCCTTTGTTTTAAGGAATATTTATATCTTAAAAGATTTAGAGCTCCCATGAGTCAATTCAAAATAGCAAAATAAAAACCCTGTGTGTCGCACAAAAGAAAAACATCCAGAAAGCTACATTTATAAAGCTGTTGCTACCATAAAATTATCTGCTGTAAACAGATTTATTAACACAACCTAGGCTTTCTTTGAGAAATCCTGCTTTTACACATTAGCTGCCTTAGCAAGGTGGCACTTTCCTGAAAAGAGGGACCAACGCAGGTGACCTCCCAGAGCGCGGCAGCACAGGAACAAACCTCCCCAAAGCTGGAACATCCCATCAGTACAGGTTATTCTGCACCCACAAATGTGCAGGGCTTTACAATAACAAGTTAAAATGACATTTTAAAGAATCAGTGCTCAAGAATCTCTTAGTTTTTTAACTGTCAGATTTCAGAAAGACCGTAACTCTGTGGACTCCTCACATGCATTTTGCCAAAACGAGATGATTTGGCACGTGCTTTCCTACTGCAGGATCTGCGTACAGGCAGACAGAAGCGATCACTTTTACAAGGGTTACTGACTGATTTTTAGTAACATTTATCCCTAAAACTTTTGGCCCCAGAGCAAATATAAATTCCGCCATCCTCAATTGGCGTCTTTGACTATCTTGCAAAGTTTGATGCTATTTCCCTTCCAGAGTTTGTGTTTGTTTGTATATAAAACAAGTCTTTGACCCACATCCAAGTTTGTTAAGCCCTTGGCACGTTTCCTTCATTAGAGTATAAGGGTTTTTAAGCATCTCAAGCTGCAAGAACCAACCAAGCAGAGCACGCGGAGCCCCTGTCGGGGTTTATAACCGCTTTGGACTCGCGGCAGCTCCGGAGCGGGGAGGCAGGGAGCCGAGGCCGTGCC